TCACGCGCATTTCAGCTATTTGACACGCACTCACTAAATTGCGTATTACTTTGAAAATAAGTACCGGACGGCTTTATGCTTTTAAAGGCTTATTCCCAGACATATTTAGAGTACATTAAGACAAAAAAAAATTTTTCGAAAAAAATAAATTTTCAATTGTATTTCCCCCCTTAATAGTACTGTGTTGCCTTGCTATTTCAACGCCTAAGTTGCGTAGTCCATTCCATGTTTTTTGTCGAAGAAAAATTCAAACATTGAAAAACTTAGCTGCAAAAATTTCAAAGGATGCCATTGTACGTTGCTTTTTAACATCATTTAGCATATTGGAAGCTTTATATCGCTTCCATTTTAAATATGCTTTATCCCGAAGCTTTATGGTTTTTTTAATTTCGTCATAAAACCAAGGCTATTGCTTAGGTTGAGTGGTTTAACATTTATGTGGAACATGCTTATCATAGAGATTTTTAATTTTGGTGTTAAGAGCGCATAATTGGTCCTCAACATTTGTAAGCCTATAAATTGAGTTTCAATTATATGTCACAAAGTAAGTTTCTAGTTGATGATAAATTTTTAGAGTCCCTATACTCAAAATTAATGTCATCATAGTCAAAAGTAAGGTTACATGTTAGGAAAATAAGGTTGTGCCTTGAAAATAATACTACTGAAACCCGGTTACAATCACAGATTTACTTAAGTCATTTAGAAAGAATGGGTCAAGTAATGTTTCACAGCTGTTAGAAAAGTTAACTACTGCTAACTACATTTCATCACTTCATAAGACATAGAGACGTCGAAAATTAAACTCAACTATTTTGTTTACCAGACACTGTGCATTAATATGAATAATTGTTAATTGTGTCTGCCTTTTTGCATTCTAACCAAGCTGTGCGCAATGGCACTACTTATTTCGACATGCATTAATAGTCTATAAATTAATCAATAAAGTGCTACTCTCAGTTTGACTTAATGTGAAAAACTCTAAAATTTGATAAGTTTAAGTAGGAAATAGTTATACATATTTAAAATACAATATAAAAATGCTTAATAACGAAACTTATGGTAACGACATGTTAAAAAGTCATGAAAATTACAGACGTTACTGTGGTTCTCGAAAGGGCAACTAAGTTGATCGAAAGGCATCTGTGATCTGCTGCATTCTTTTGAAGAAGTGAAATGTTTCATCTCCAGCACGCTTTACATGCGTCTCGTGAATACTGCGGTCACATTTTTCATCCTTTTCCGGTGCAAAGCTTGTTTGAAGATAGTATAGTGCTCCTTGGACAGCTGTTAATTAAAATAGAATGGTACTCGAGAGTAGAATCCAATTAGGTTTAGCTGCAGTGGCTGATTCCATTCGCGGGGATGCATTCCCAAGGTCCTTAGTAGCAATATTTAGTTCCGTAGACCTAACATTTTTAAAACGATTACAGGATCCACATTGCTGCGCTGTGTTTTACGAGCACGGAAAATTATTACAGGATCCACATTGCTGCGCTGTGTTTTACGAGCGCGAAAAAACTATGAACTCCATGAATGCGTAGATCAAGAGCATTTTTGGACACAGGATGCACTGCCTGCTTCTTGTCGACACTTACAACCAGCTTAAGCAAACCGAGCTATCTTGTGATCCATGCGATCCAAGTTACTCTGTAGCTAATCTCTTTGTAAACGCAGGTGCTTTACATCTTTCTGAAGAGTATCAATTCGTCCAACTAGTTGTTTAAAGTCACCAATGAAAGCATCTAGGCGCTCAGTCACACTTTCTGTAATGCTTTTTTCAGCTTCTCACATGTTGTTGACGTTGGCTCGGTAAAATTAGCATTTTATTGCTCAGCCTGCAAAAACCTAACTCATCGTTTCGAAAATAAACGATTGCAGGTGAACAGTCCCTTGAAAACTTTTTTTAACGTGCTCTCCATAGCACAGGAGTCTGAAGCAGCCTTAAAGGAACGTCACTTTTAAAGGTTGCTATTCTTTGCTATTTTTCGGCGTTAATATTGAAATTGTGACCCTATCCTGGTTTTCATGTGCTCGAAAAAACTATCAAAGCTCACGCTCTCTTAATGGGAACAATCAGTCCAAAATAAAGCCGATATACCTAAATTGCTTGAGATTGATTCCTTTTTGACGGAGCGCCATCGAACTCAAGAGTCCGTCGATAGCTTCCGATCTGCCAATTTCCTCCCCGTCCAGTCCAAAGATATAAATCGAGTGGCGAAATTTCCATAAAAAATTCCTTCAACACAAGGGTAGTTCCGAAACCGAAAGGCTGCGATCTGTGTTCGAAGAAGACCCACCCCGTGCGTATATGTCCACGCTTCCTACAAATGACGGTAGACGATCGCCTAGCCTATATCTAAAGAAAGCAGTTGTGCTCCAATTACTTTGCAAGCAGCCATTAATTTCGGGATTGCACAAGCGCTCACAACTGTCACTCTTGCCGAGATCGGCATCATATGTTGTTGCATCGAAACAGCGGTGCTACTACTATGCCGATTCCATGTGACCCTCCAAGGCCAGTATCTGACTTTATTCCACACACAATGTTATCTTATTCAGCGCAAGTTTCCTTCCATGCTATCCGCTCTGTACCCCGTACAAAAAGTCCATCCTACGAATAATCCATCCGAATATTTGGTTTCATATACCGCCTCGGATGGCAGAATTACTCGAGGTATTAAATCCTACCAAAATCTGCCTATGGATCCATCATCTACGGCAGCGCCACCACTTTCTGCGGCTAAGCACCCAGAAACGGCTCCAGGAAGTACATATCCAGAAGTACTGGTCCAATTGCTTGGCTCACAATCACTCCAAGGACTCCTGCCGCAGTGGTCATAACTGCCGCGAGTGTGGAAACGGCCACTACACTCTCCTACATCGGACGGCCGATCTTCACTTCCATAATTCTCCTGAGCCTACTATCCTGAGGTGAGGCAAGGGGGGGAGAATGTTCACGCCAAAAAGGAGGTTTAATTTCTGTAGGCAGTGTGGAGCGGCAGTTTTCTCCAGATTTTTACATCTCGCGCGCTCGCACCGCCCCCTGTTTTCCCTCTCCATCTCACCCCAAAGTCTCCACGCACGTCGCGTAAGAAACCTAAAAGTACACCGAGTTTTTCGTACCTTTGTTCTGGGGACTTCATATTATATATATATATTATTACATATAGTAATTATACCTAACGTTCTGCCTTGGAGTACTCGACTACTTTATATTTTCAGAGATTGGTAAAATTATTAAAAGGGACTTACTCCACACTAATCTAGGAAGGTTTAGTATATTCTACATGAGGCACTGTTAATAGTCGGCGTCTCCTGACATATCTCTGCGTCCTCGCAGGATTCTAAGGGGGGATCATCTTCCAAATCGTCATCTTCATCGGGCTCATCCGGTGGCAGCTCACACCAGCGCTTCATATTGTCGGACGAATACACCGACTTGTAGTGTCTCTGCTTTCGTTGTGCGTGAGGGATATCTTCTACAAGATATCTGTCGTTCGGCAGGACCTTGTTGATTAGAAAAGGACCTTTGTAGCGAGGCTCTAATTTGCGTTATATGTTCGTGCTGAATGGCTTATTCTCGACCAACACAAGGTATCCAAGGCTGTAAACAGTTGTTTTCGCATGTTTGGCATCTTATCGTTTCTTGGCAGCAGCTCGGTGATCGTTGACAGTCGTCGCAGCATCTGCTCTAAGCTGATCCAATTCCACATTGGCTAGCATCTTTTGGTACCGGCTTTGAAAGATATTGGTTATCGCGATCTTCGGGATTTCTCGGAGTTCATACCCAATTAGGAAATAGGGAGCATTTTGTTGTACTATTTACCATGGTATTGGTTGGATTGATCGGATATTGTCATCCCAACGCTTATCGATGACAAAATGATTCGATTTGTCCGCTCTGCGTGACCATTGGCTCTGGGTGTCCTTACAGCATTTAAAATGTGCTTTATATTGTTTGACTTGTAGTATTTTTCAAAATCTTTTGATGTAAATGCTGTAATATGGTCTTTTACAATTCGATCTGACATTCCCATAGGTGGTAACTTTTTACAGAACATCCAGGACGTGTTTAGTTGCTGTACTCTTCACCGCTAGTACAATAGTGAGTTTGGTAAATGCATCGACTATTACAAGAATATGCTCGTTTCTTTTGGAACTCTTTGGAAATGGCCCCAGGTGGTCCATGTGTATCGTAGAAAAGGGAATCGGCTTGATGTCAACGTAGTGGTACTGATCTTCCTGACGTACACCTAATGTTTTATAAAACGCACAGCCTACACAGGATTTGATGTAGCTTTTGACATAGTTTCGCATTCGGGGAAACCAAAATAAGTTTAGAGTTCGTGCCATAGTCTTATCCGTGCTCATACGCCCGACCTTATCGTGACATTCATGTAAAATGTGGAATCTCAACTACTTCGGCGCAACTCATAAAAAATTGTTGCCATGTTTTCGAAATAAGCGGTCTTGCTCGATCACATACTCGTCGGTCTTAGATTTAATTTTTCAATTTCATGTCTGCAACAATTTTCTGAAATTTCTTGTCTTGTAGCTGTCGATTATGGTTTTTGCTATTTTCAGAGATGCGGTATCCATCTCTCGAGGATCTTCGAACGGAGCTCGACTGAGTGTGTCTATGTGGTTTATCTGTGTTCCTGCTCGATGAACGATGTCTATGTCGAATTCTTGAACACCTAACCACCATCTTGCAATCCGAGGTATCAGTTCTCGCTATTCCATCAACGTCTTTAGGGCATTGCAGTCGGTGAAAACCTTTATCTTCTTGCCATAAATGTAATATTTGAATCGATTCAAAGATTCCACGACGGCTAGAGCCTCAAGTTCGTAGCTGTGATAATTTTTGTCCGGTTTGGAAGTAGTGAATCACTTGGGAAAATCAGAATTTTTCCTTGAGTTTTCAATTATAAAAAAATAGAATTTATTATACATACATATTTATTTAATTTTAATTAATTTTAATTATACAGTATTATAAAGATTTTCAAAAATTGTACAGTTATTATTTCTGTGTTTTTCCTTGGTAAGTTTATTTTTAACATTAGTCATTGCCTTTCTTAAAGATTTGTCCGGGTCCTCGGAGTCCTTGGCCAACGCTCCTGAAAAATGTAATGCATATGTTTAGAAATGCGTCTTACTTTTTTATTTGTATATTTACCTTTAAGAACTCCGTATAACCCTATACGGCATCTGAGGGACTTTTTCCCGTTGGACCCGTCCAAATTGTAGTCATTGATAATATCTTCTGCTATAATAAGTTTGAACCGCTTTGACAGCGGTTCGCTCCCAATTATTTTTGATATTTTCTTTGTCTGCAAATAGATATAAAAAAGAAACATAAAAATGCAAAAACAAGTCGGCCTTGCTCGATACTTGCGTAAAAACCGATATGCTCCGGGGTCAAGGAATTTTCGAACTCGTCAAGTTCCTCTTCTGTTTTTAGCGGAAATGGTACCGCGCCCGAAATCTCTTTCTCAGGATCAAATGATACTTTTAAAAGTGCGGTGTTTTCCGCCAGTTTTTCCACCAAAATGTCCAACTTCTGAGTCACAATAGAGATCTCCCTGCGGATTTGGAGAACCTCTTCTGAAATTCTAATTTATGTATATTACAAAAAATAAATGAAACATCAAAATAGACTGAAAATAGTAATCGCCCTGATTTTTAGAAATTTGTCGTTAATGGCGATTTATTTTATAAATTTAGAGTACGATAAATTTTCAAAAAAAACGGCCGATTACTATTTTTATGTAAGTAACAGTATTAATATTAAATAGTATTCGTATTTATCGTACTCTAAATTTATAAAATAAATCGCCATTAACGACAAATTTCTAAAAATCAGGGCGATTACTATTTTCAGTGTAGGGTTATAAAACATACCTTTAAACTCTGCCATTTGTCGTTCAGTTGAATCTTTAAAAAAAAAGAAATTACAAAATTACACAATAAAACAGATTTATTAACTCACTAGAGACCGATGGGGTTTCTGTAAAAAAAATATTGTATTAATGCAATCACTATGGATATTGAAACAAGAAAATCAATTTCTTGTAGTTACACTTACCCTCCACATCAAACTGGACACGACGAATTTTTGATTCAGGTTGAGACATACTAATTTAAAAATGTTTAAAATAACAAAAAATATTTTAATCAAATATTAGTAAAAAATTATAAATTAACCAAATTATAAAAAATAAAGAAAAATAAATGAAAATAATAATAAACAGTAAATAAACAATAATTGTAAATAAAGAAAATATTAGTAAATAGTTAGAAAAAAATGAAATTTTAAAAAATAAACAAAAATAAACAGTAAATAAACAATAATAAAATAAAACGAAATAATAAATCAAATAATACAAATAATACAACTACCGTTTTTTTTTTTTTGGTACTCGAACCAGGGTAGGTGAATCTTCAAAAGATATTTAAAGCGCCGTCGCAATAAATATGTCCGATTCATAATAAAATTACGCCTACGGACTAAACACCTCCTTTAAAAAAAACTAAAAATCCTATTTTAAAAGAAATGCAAACATGGAACTACTACTATTTTTTCTAAATAAGGAATGGCTACCGCTTTTCTCCTAAATTTCATTACTGAAAATCTTTTTATTCTAGAAGGCACTTCTAAATTAACTAAATAAATACCTAGGCCAGAAGAATTCATTGGCTCAATAAAAAAACTGTCCCTATCTTCCAATTCCCTTCCATTAATAAAAATTTCCCCTTCTACCTCTTCAAAAGATTCTATTTGAATTGGAACCTCATCTCCTACAAAACAAAAGTTATCTGGTTTCCTATCACTAAGTGTGCAGTCTTTCATTTTAAGATTTCTCCCTACTAATTTTATTTGTTCTTCTGCTGGGGCTACGTATTTTTCTTCAACTATCTTCCTAAATATTTGTTCTAAGATAAAACACATTTTTTAAGGAGCTGCAAGTAATTTTCGAAGGAGTAAGAAGATCCTGAAACCGGATTTCCGACTTGATTGATAGTATCTCTTACATGGAGTATGCCGTGAACATTGTAAGTCACACTGTTTGCTCCAAAAACAATGGGGAAATTTTCAACAAATAGATTTAATATTTGTTGAGCATTTTCAATATTATTTCCCCGTTGCTTTTGCGAACAGAGCAGTCTATATGCGCAGTGCAGTAATAAAAACAAATAATACTGGTCATCAAATATTGAATCTTTAAGAGCTACAATACCAAAGTATAATAAGAACTGCCTAAACTCAGTGCTTTTCCAGTTAGGAAGCTCTAACAATGTCCTCGGCTTTTTTGCAAATTCCCTAGGTATAAAAGTTCGCATTGACATTAATTTTGCGGAAATACCGTTTTGGTTTTGTTTTGAAACTTTATTTATAACTTTATTATAATAAATTCTTTCTAAAAATTTGCGCATTACCCCCAACTCAATAAGACATACAATCTAAAGGAACTTGGGTTATCATACGAACACCAAGCGTTTCAAAAGCGGACGGACTATTCAAATAACATTTGCTGTGGTGGTTTGGATAAATTCTATTTGCAAAGTCTTCATCAGTAATTAACTCACTAGCAACAGTACTGTGAGTTAATGTACCATCTATTTTGCGACCAACCTGAAGACACTTGGTACAGCCGTGACTGGATGTATGTCCAGGGGTTCCTGTAACAAATGCCCTTGCAGGTGCATCACAAACCACCGCCCTAAGTTCTAAATTTACTTTTTTGTTACAAATTGTAAGTCCGTTTATTAAAAGATCGGACAATTCACTAGTAAATTTTGACATATATTGTACACAATTAGATGGCTTATTTTTAGATGAATAAACTCCTACTGGAAAGACGGGGCATTTATTAATATTATTAACTCGAACTAAAATAGGCCACAATTGTGCACGAGAGCTTTTAGTAAGGGGAAGACCGTCAATATTAACGTCAATGCTTAAAACTTCTGGTAATTCTGCTACCACTGATAATTTTTCTAATTGCTTCGATAAGCCTATATGCAAATATGAACCCCCATCTATTTCCGTAATATCTGGAGTATTCCTGCATTTAAATTTATAAAAAGGCCTAACATTTAAATTTTCTTCATTTAAAATTTTAATTAAATCTATGGCGCAACAACTGTTCGAATTTTCTTCAACTAACCTAAATCTTTCACGTAACTGATCCCTTTATCTTTTAATTAATCTTCTAACCTGACGAGAACCTGGCATTTTGATAAAAAACAAGGAAGAACGCTATAGTCGAGTACCTCGACTATCAGATACCCGTTACTCAGCTAAATGGAGATATGCAAGCAGCAAAGCGAGATTAAAATGCGCCACCTACCGGCGGTATACAGATTTAAGCGTTATGGGCGTTAGAGTGGGCGTGGCAAATTTTTTTTTGGATCAATCGATAGGTATCGACGAGACCAATACATTTCAGTTAAAATTTTTTATCTAGCATGAAAATTGTGGGCGTCACAGGTTTTCGCGGTTTGTGGGCGTTAAAGTGGGCGTGGCAAACTTTTTTTTGGGTCAATCGATAGGTATTGATGAGAACAATACATTTCAGTTAAAATTTTTATTCTAGCATCAAAACTGTAGGAGCCACAGTTTTGGGCGGTTTGTGGGCGTTAGAGTGAGCGTGGCACTGTGCTGAAACTTGCGCTGCGTAAGAAGCTCAGGAATCTGCACGCCAAATCTCAATAGCCTAGCTCCCATAGTTTCCGAGATCTCAGCGTTCATCCGGACAGACGGACAGACGGACATGGCTAGATCGACTCGGCTAGTGATCCTGATCAAGAATATATATACTTTGTGGGGTCGGAAACGCTTCCTTCTGCCTGTTACATACTTTCCGACGAATCTAGTATACCCTTTTACTCTACGAGTAACGGGTATAACAAAGTTATTTGTTAGATGAGACCTGAAAATCAAAATTTGGCATTACACTTTTGTTTTAATATAAAACAATTTAAAACAATAATTGGTATACCCTTGCAGAGGGTATATTGTTTCAGTCAGAAGTTTGCAACGACGTTTCCGAACCCATAAAGAATATATATTCTTGATCAGGATCACTAGACGAGTCGATCTAGCCATGTCCGTCTGCCCGCCTGTCCGTCCGTTTCTACGCAAACTCTCAGTTTTAAAGCTGTCGGGCTGAAACTTTCCCAAAATAATAATAATAATTTATATAATTATAATAATTATTTATATAATTTATTTATTATTTATATATAATTTATTTATTTATATAATTATAATAATTATTTATATAACTATTATAACGTGTAATAAATAATAATAATACACTATAATAATTATTTATAATAAACAATAATTACAAATTATAATAATTTTTTTGGAAAATAATTAATTTATTGATAATTATTTATTTATCAATTTATTTAAATTGAATAAATAATTATTATAGATAAATCCATTTCATTTTAAATAATTGTTGTAAATGTCTCATTTGTTCACATTTATTTACATATTTTTAACAACAATGTGATAAAATCTTTTAAATTATATAATAATATCAAAGCTGAAAATTACCAATAAATTTTTGAGATAAACATAACCAAACATTTTTATTTTATAATCTTTATTATTTATTAATTATGATATATTCATCTTTGTCCAAAATGAAAGTGATTTTGCTATTCAAAACAATTATTATTTATTCAAATATATTAGATTTAGATTTTTGTTAAATAAATCAATTTTTATGTCTGTTTAAAATTTTTTAAATAATGCGCATTGCAAAATCACTATGTTTTTGGGCGTAGCTGTATATTTCACAATTAAACATTTCGACTTGCCCAGAAAAAGAGAGTTGTTTAGCAAAGTTTATTAGTATTAAAAACGTGCACAAATGATTTTTTCTTAATTTATGTCCGTTATGTAATTTATTTTATCAATCCACTTTTGGCTAGCGGTATCCGATTTTTTGGGTTATTTTGTCAAACGCATAAAATAGTTTTTAAACTAACGTACCTTTAAAGTCAGTTTAATGCACAACGTATTACACTTAACGTAACATTTACCTGGGTTTATAATTTTAACTTTAAAACACGTTTTAGTTAAGCTGATGCCTGATGCGCACAATTGAAATCGATCCTTCCTTTGCAATCACTCAAATTAGAATGCAAATGCACCAAGTCTTCCTCTCACCCCTTTGCTTGATTTCTTTTGTTTTCTCTTCGCTGTTGGCGCGTGCCACTGCACCTATACCCTTTCTAAGGCGACAAATATCCGACTATATAATTTTTACTTCTTGAGTAAAAAATACAAAATGAATTTTAAAAAAATGTTAATACTAAAATGTTTTTAATATTGAAATCAATTTTAACGGACTAAATTTCTATAACTAAACTAAAAAATTATACTGTAATAAAAGTGTAAAATAAGTGAACATAACATTATAAGTAAATTCAATTAACTTAATTTTACTATAATCAAATAATTTACTTTTATAAAACAATATTAGTTGATTTTTTTTGGTATACAATAATGCTCATAAAATATTAGGACATTCACATGTCGCTGCGCGACTAAAAATTTTCCGTCGAAATATTGGTCGCTAGCCGAACATAACGGAGAGACTCCAAAAAAAAATAACGGACCGGCCGAAATTTGTCTCTGCGAGCGCGGAGTGCAGGCAGATTATAAGACAAGAAAGAGAGGGAAATATCCGAATATCTGCCTCTCTTTGTTGCACGATCGTTTTCGTGGGCAGTCTTCTACGCTGCGCCGACTGCTCTGCTGACGTCAACAGTGGCACAGCGTTTTAGGCACAAAAAAAAAACAAAAAAAGCTTTTTGCCTTGAGCCATGTCACCGCGTCCCTACTGCAGAACTGAAGGGCTTTTACTCTACGAGTAACGGGTATAATTAAGCGGAAAATTTATTTCTTTCACGAATAATTTACGTATAATTAACGGCAAATTCTCAATATGAAAAAGTTTGGATATCAAAAGTTGTTTTGCTAACTTTATGCATATGACGTACTCTGATGTTGACAACGTGATTGTGTCCTGCTTTAGCAGATCGTCGACCAATCTGCTAACGATTTCCTTCTTTGGCTCGGAAACTCGGTATGGAGCTTGTGCTACTACCTGACTGCATTCGACGATGATATCTGCTTTGATCCCGCTTGTCTTTCCTATGCCTCCCAATCCT